CAAGATAACACGCCTGGACTGATAGCCAAGTTCCATACCCATGAAGGTGGCCTTAGCCCTTAGCTTGGGTTCATGTGGCACTGCAGGTAACCGCACCATACTGTTGTGTATTTTTAAAATCTTCCTTTCTGCTCTGATTTTACAACATCACCTTGATAACTTGTTATGATCTCTCTCCCTTAATTAGTTTGTATAATTTTGGATTACCTGTTACTTTCGGCATGCGATTCTTATACCTATCACATTATGCCAGGCATTTGGTTTGCCTCCAGCACCATCTCTTTTTAAATTTTTTGTAATTATCTCTCTGCCTCAATTAATCGGATCATGGGTCATCCCTTCACTTGCTATTCACTGTTGACACTTTACTCACACTGTCTGACACTTTGGATCACCTGCAGAGACTTGTTATTCACCCTGTCAATACTCCACTCGCACTATTTATTTGATCTTTTGATCTCTCTGCCTATAAATTCTGTGCTTCTGTGCTTCAGTTCACTTCAGCTGACGAAGGAGCAGCACTTTGAAATCTTGTGATTTCAAATAAACCTGTCGGGCTATAACCTGGTGTCATGTGACTTCTAACCAAGATAACAGCGTTTAAAGCTTTGAGTGGATGGTTACAAGGATGGGGGAAAAAAGAACTGCCATGCTAAATGCTTAAAAGTGACAAGAACAGCCTCTGGAATGTATAATCCATCTAATTAAACATCATCCTTTCCCAAGTTGATAAAGCCTCATGCACTGGATTGTAATATCTTATTAAAGTTGCAACAACGACGACTTATATTTCTATAGCACCTTTAACTTAATGAAACATCCAAAGGTGCTTCATCGGACAGCAAATCCAACAAAATATTGACACTGAATCACATAAGGCAATGTTAGGACGGTAATCAAAAATCTCTGTCAAAGACACAGTTTTTAGGAAGTGTCTGATAGCGAAAGATGGAGGGACAGAGTGGGAGAGGTCTAATGTGGGACTATAGCGCTTCAGCCTCAGGCAACTGAAGGCACAACCACCAGAGATGGAGTGGTTAAAATCAGAGGCCTGAAGTGGAGGTATGTTGAGATCTCAGAGGATTGTAGGGCTGAGGGAGATGAAAGAGATGGAAAGGTGAGGCTATTGAAGGATTTTATAAACAAGGATAAGAAAGATTCTAAGTTGAGGTATTGCCTGACCGAGACCCAACGAGCACAAGAGGTGCACTGAGTTAGAATACAGGCCATTGAGATGATAAATGTTCCTGAATTGTTTCAGGGGAGTGTTGGAATAGTTGATTCTGAAGGTGCCAAGATGGATGTTAAGTGATAAGGCAACCAGAAACCAGAAATCTTATAGAGAAATGTGCCCAGATGGGGCTGAGAATAAGAAAGATCTCTAGGGATTGTTGGAGTGAAGCACTCTCTCTGCTAATCATTTCACACCTGCTGCGGTTTCACACTGAAGTTGTAGCAGTGATGGGCCTCAAGATTCAGCACTGCTTAAATAGCTTCATTGTCTAGAAGCAGCAGTCTTGTGCTGGGACACGAGCTGTTAATGATGTACCAAGGAGACAGCAATTCTGGAGCTGAAAAGCAGTACAGTTCAAGTCTTCAGTCATACTTTACACAGTTCTAGGATTAGGTGACTACGATTCACTCGATACGATTAGCATAGTGAATTAAAAGTAACCTATTTCATTATGCAGCTTTTGTTAATGCCTTTAGTCAATGCGGTGACAATTGTAGATTCATTTATCTTAATTCTCTCCCTGTTCATTGTCACGCTTCCCATCATTCATGTCAAATCAGTAAAAGTCACTTTCCCTGATATTAAGAGAGATAGTAGGAACTGCAAATGCTGGAGAATCCGAGACAACAAGGTGCAGAGCTGGATGAACACAGCAGGCCAAGCAGCATCATAGGAGCAGAAAGGCTGATGTTTCGGGCCTAGACCCTTCATCAGAAATGGGGGAGGGGAAGGGGGTTCTGAAATAAATAGGGAGAGAGGGGGAGGCAGATAGAAGATGGATAGAGGAGAGGATAGGTGGAGAGGAAACAGTCAGGTCGAAGAGGCGGGGATGGAGCCAGTAAAGGTGAGTGTAGGTGGGGAGTTAGGGAGGGGATAGGTCAGTCAGTCTCCTTGGAAATCCCAAAACCAGCCCAGCTCATCCCCGCCTCCCTAACCTGTTCTTCCTCCCACCTATCCCCTCCTCCCACCTCAAGCCGCACCCCCCTCTCCTACCTACTAAC